TTAACGTATCAGAAACATATTATAAGCCCACCAATTGTGAACTGGATGGATGGATGGATGGATGGATGGATGTTCACATAAAAATGGACAGGATTCGAACCATATAGGTACTGTGTGTGTTTATACAGTTATCCCTCACTTATCGTGGTTATTGGGAACCATGACCGCGATAAGTATGTTGCGTTCAGGAAGCTCGGAGCTGCGATAAACAGCCCATACTGTATTTTTACCTTTCGTATCTTCAAATTTATTTCGTAACAAGAGGCAATATTTTCCTGTTGAGACGTTTCGGAACTTGAAAATTTCGTATGAAGAGACGTTCGTAGGTAGAGGCGCCACTGTATGCCAAAGAGAGGAAGGCGAATGAGAGTCACCAATCAGAGTCAACAGCGTGACCAGAAACGGGGGACGGTGCTGGGCGGGGCTGTGAAGATGTGCAGCCAATCAGCTCACGGGATAAATCCACTCGTGCTGTCATTGGTCGATGTCGTGCCGGGAACCAATCATTCGCAAAGGCATGTACAAAACCTCTGAGTCATTCATTTGCCTTTTCAAATTGTGTGTGTGTTCGTGTGTGTGTTTCATTTATCCCCTTTTGCCTCTTTCATAATTTTCATGCGCCTCAACATGCAGCGCTTGTAAAACCAACTGAGCAAGATGCCTGTGTTTGTCATATCGCCTTTGAATGATGATAAACACCTTTTCTTGAAGCTATTTGTTCAGTCAAATGTCACAACGTATTCAATTATGCACTTGCTCATAAATTAACACTAAAATAAATACCCCGAAGATAACTTGTAACTGGGAGATGCAGATCACAGATGTACATCAAAAAAAGAGTTCTTGCATTTTATAAAATTTGGGAAGAGGGCCCCAAAGATAACTTCTAACTGGGAGATGCAGATCACAGATGTTCATCAAAAAAGGGTTCTTGCATTTTATAAAATTTGGGAAGAGGGCCCCTCAAAACACAACTTATTGATTGTAGCTGAAGAAAATGAAGGACTCTGTCTGTAGCGTGTGTGGACCACTAATTGGTGACTTCATTTTCACAAATGAGTTGTGTGTCATGCATATCCTAATAAAGTAACAAAAGCTCCAAGAGCAGCCTCTGCGGAGTAAAGTGGGATTGAGGTGGAGATCCAGTCCACCAAACAATGCAATCATTGCATTGGGTTCGATTAATTTATGACACACAAGTTCCAAGTATTTTTTTCTCCAGTCAGAATGCAAAGCGGGACAGGACCAAAACAGCCGCACACGTGTCACAATTTGTGTTCTAGATTTGAGTAAGTTTGACCTTTGTTAGTGGGTGCCATGTTTGGCGCAAATGTAGAGGAGCGGAATGCAAAGCAGGACAGGACCAAAACAGCCGCACGTGTCACAATTTGTGTTCTAGTAGATTTGAGTAAGTTTGACCTTTGTGTAGTGGGTGCCATGTTTGGCGCAAATGTAGAGGAGCAAATCGTCAGCATGACGACAGACTCGCCGTTCCATCCATTACTAAAAATACCACACAGTTTACAATAAAGTGCATTTAAGAGGGGCTTGATAGCTAAGGCAAAAAAAAAAAAAAAGAATGAATGAATAAATGCTACTGTTGCTCGGTGTGCGAGAGGTTCTTAAAATGCATCACTCAGAACTTGGTTGATGAATGGATTGGTAATTGTAAACAACAGCCATTCATCCAGGTCATTCATTTTCAGAGCAATTTCATCCTGATGGAGTCCAAGGTTACATTATGATCCCTCTGAATCTTTCTGAGGGAGGATTTGTGTGCCATGAGAATATGGTCTCAAATATAATATTTAACAGAACGTCTCATGACCGACCTCCTGAACCTCTCCTGGAGACAAAATGGCAAGTTCCATGCCAAAAATTAAAGCGTGATGATAGTTTCATCATCAAAAATGATTACTGGCACAAGGGGTTGAAACGACAGAAGGGTGTGATGGATTGGTTTGTCAAGTCAAGGTTCAACTGGAGAGCGCTTGTCAGCAATGCATAAAGATTTTCTCTCAAAACACTTCATCCCTGAATGGCCAATTTAAAAACTTGTAGAGTAGGTTTTCAACAATGCGATTAATTTCTTTGAAAGGGTACATTTTGAACAAACACAACTGGCCGTGGGTTGTTGCCAAATGGTTAAGATTGTCGCCTGCTGCCGAGGGGACCACAGTCACTGACAGGCAAAAACTAAAAAAAAAACGTCAGCGAGAGAGTATGCGGCAACTGATCATCCACCTCCGACATAATTAATTCTTGTTTGATAAAGTTTCGAATTTTATGAAAAAATCCTTTGAAGTGTGTGCATAATTCTTATTTAACACACACACAACCCAAACACACACACACACACACACGCACGCACACACGCACGCACGCACGCACGCACGCACGCACACACACACACACACACACACACACACACACACACCTTTGCTTAAAATATTCGCCTGTTTTGCCAAACGGAACAGGTCAGGTTGGGCAGAGGAGTATATAGTGTTTTAGTGTAGTTGTCACCATTTCACCACTGCAGGAGGAACAGTTGCAACGTGAAGCGAGGTATGTAGCGTTGGAAACGCTGATGGCATTTGTTATTTTATAGTTTGTTATATTATGGCCCTTGTGAAGATAAGCGGATCGGAAAATGGATGGATGTACATATTCTGGGCAATACTGTATTGCAGTTTTATGATTCACTGTTTCATAAAAAGTGTGAGTTTGAATGAAAATAGTAAGATACACAATGAAGGGAATGTATTTATGGAAGTCAAATGTGTCAGTTTATAATATGTGTGCTTGAATATGCTATTTAGCTGTGTTTTAGCTTGCAGTGCTTGACGATTAACTTAAAATTTGCAGCAGTTGAACTCAACGTTGTTCCACTCTTCTGTGGAACAAATAATAATTTTTATGTTTTTACATGATAACTTTCACTTTTTTTACATGATAATTATCATGTTTTTGTATAACAATTTGCACATTTTTACGTGATAAGTGTTAGGTTGATTGTTTTTAGTTATCTTACATTTGCATATTATTAATGATCAATTGATTATGCTTGCAACGAAGAACGTTTATGCTTTTAATCAAGATATAATTATGCTTTTAATAAAGATATATGCTCACATCTATAATAGAGAATGTTAAGTGCACTGTGTGACAGTTGAGGGATGCAACCACCTTTCCGACAAAGTGGTTGGAAAGAGATTAGTATTAAGACAAAACAAGAGCAAGGTCGGACGTGGATGGAGCTGTCAACACCAACTGAATGACATTCACAGCTGCTGCTATGAATATCTAATTGATAACCCTGACATTTTTTTGGTACATCGGCCGGTAATCGAACCCCGGGCTTTCCGCGAGAATTCCACCACTGAACCACCAGGGAGGCCCAGGTTCGATTCCCGGCCAAATGCAGCAAAAAATGTCAGGGTTATCAATTAGACATTCATAATAAAGATCCAACGAGGAGAGGAGACACTTGATTCTGGTACCAAATCACTCGAGGGGGGAACAAGGAGAAGCGTTAGGTTTTAGTTCTCTGCACGTCACCCATGGATCTCCCCACTTGCCCTCTCATTTATTTCTCATTGGGAATCTAATACATCGGTGAGTCCAACCTAAAGGGTGAGGGCTGTTGAAGACACACTGAACTTGTTTGACTATGGGCATGTGAGTGAAAATGATTACATGTGTGCAATCATTACAAAAACACCAAAAGCAGTTGGTGTTGACAGCTCCATCCACGTCCAACCTTGCTCTTGTTTTGTCTTAATACTTATCTCTTTCTAACCAATTTCTCGGAAAGGTGGTTGCGACCTTCAAATGTCACACAGTGCACTTAGCATTCTTTATTATAGATGTGAGCATATTTTTATTAAAAGCATAATTACATCTTTATTAAAAGCATAAGCGTTCTTCATTGCAAGCATAATCAATTTATCACTGCAGGCATAAGCTTTCCTCATTATAAGCGTAATCGATTCATCATTAATAATATGCAAATGTAAGATAACTAAAAACAATCAACCTAACGATAAGTTTCGTGTTTTTCGTGTTTCTGAACTGATTAACATCTCCGCTCAGTTGCTCATTATGCGACTTTAAATGTGTGTCTTGTGTGGGGGTTAAAAGAAGCTTGAATTCACATTGAACTTTTAGGGAATGTGGAGGAAAAAACGCCAAAGTGTAACTGAGGAGAGAGGACACTGGAGCAGCAAGGTGGAGTATCTTCTGGCTATTGCCGGGAACATTGTGGGCCTGGGCAATGTGTGGAGATTTCCGTACTTGTGCTACAAAAACGGCGGCGGTAAGCAAATGCAGCACTCGACACTTCCAAAAGTTGTACATATCACAAAAGTATGTGTAACATCCAGGTGCATTCCTGGTGCCGTATCTGGTATTTGTGGTGACATGCGGCGTCCCGCTATTCCTTTTGGAAACCGCCATGGGCCAGCATACCCAAGAGGGCGCCATCACCTGCTGGAGGAAGCTGTGCCCCCTGGCTGAAGGTGTGCAACACTCTGTCACGTACAAGTTTGCCATTCTCTAACACAGCGGTCCCCAACCTTTTTTGCCCCACAGACCGGTTTAATGTCAGACAATATTGTCAGGGACCGGCCTTTAAGGTGTGGCGGGTAAATGTAATAAAATAATATGATATGACCTGCATGATACCGTGGTATTTTCTAAACATAAAGTAATACAGTTTGTTTCTTGTATTTGTGTGACGTCACAGAGAGGGGAGGAGCCCGGTTGGGGGAATATTGGCTCCGGCAGTTAGTCTGAGTGCGGAGCGCATGGACGTGAGTTGTGGCTAACAGCAACTCCTATGAATGTATGTGTTACTGCTCCTTTTGTTTATTAAAAACGACAGATTACATCAGCGACTGCGTGCATCCTTCTTTCCGTATTGAAGGGCATTATAATAATAATAAACACAAATCATGACACAAGGAACGTCCTCTTTGGCCGTCACACGCTCTGGTCGCTATGGTAACGTTTAAACGTGCCTTCAAAATAGGATCCAAAGCAAATAAAAAGTGCATGAAAAATACGACTCACCATCGCCGCATATTATGCAGAGTGGGCTTGGTGCGTGGGAATCTCCCGTTGAGATAAATCCATATTTTTCAGTAGGACTCCTGATACTGTTTATGAAATGTAGCCTTCTTTCTCTTGAAAGTCATAGGCTCCTCTTCTGTTTCCTGGCTGGGCTTTTTTTCGCTCAACTCAACTCAACTATATTTATAGAGCACTTTCAAACAGCCATCGCTGCATACAAAATGCTGTACATGGAGCAACTAACATACTGCATACAACAGTAAAGCAACAAATCAGTAACAAAGACGGCGGAAAGCACCGAACAGTAAAACCAAGAACAAATCTGAGTCATGCTGAGTCAAATGCCAAAGAATACAAGTGAGTTTTGAGGCGGGTTTTAAAGATGGGCAGCTAAGAGGCTAGCCAAATGTTCAGTGGGAGGTCATTCCCTTTCCAAAGACGTTTTTTACTTATTTTGCTAGCTCCAGGCTTTCATTTTAGCGGTAAACTGTCACGTGACCGAGAAGCGCGCCTTGACCTGACACATTGTAGACGGATGTAACAGAGAATCCGGTAATTTTTCAAAATACAACATTTTTTGGGAACGCGAAATAAATAAAACGGAAGTTTTATTTTTTGCTCCGAGATGAATTTCTTCTTTCGGAAACAAGCAAAGAAAATGATTAAAAATTGAACCTTAAATGTGCGCTGTCTGTAAGGTATCGGCTATGGGGGGCAAGTGATCCAGTTCTACAGCAGCATGACCTACACGATTATTATGGCATCGACTCTTTTCTACCTGGCGTTCTCCTTTATCTCTCCACTGCCCTGGAGCACCTGCGACAACTACTGGAACACAGGTGAGGTCCAGCACACAATGCATCATGTCCCTTTTTGGTCAAGAAACTCTGACCTGTCCTATTATCTTGTCATGAGACAAGACTGAATAAATGGCATTTTGCTACAAAGTTAAGTTGTCATCTTACAACTTTGATTAAGGCGTAGTCATTCCTGTCAAGTGTCAAGTCAAACTGAGCCAAATTTATGTATACAGCTCTCAATTACGGAAGCGTCTCAAAGACAAAAGCATGCATTGACAAATGAACCACCTGGACTAAATGCCATTTGCATTTGTGGGAATAGGAACTGGGACGGCCCACAAATGTCGAAAGTCTGCGTGTAATTGACGGCTATTGAAATGCATATGGAATAGATATGGCCGCACTGCTCACAACCGAATGCTGCAAACACAGGAATGATGCAAACAAAACGACTGCGAAACAAAAACACTGCAAGGAATGGTGCAAACGGCCAAACGTAATCTCATAAAACAACAGCAAAAAAAAAAAAAAAAACTGGGACGGCCCACAAATGTCGAAAGTCTGCGTGTAATTGACGGCTATTGAAATGCATATGGAATAGATATGGCCGCACTGCTCACAACCGAATGCTGCAAACACAGGAATGATGCAAACAAAACGACTGCGAAACAAAAACACTGCAAGGAATGGTGCAAACGGCCAAACGTAATCTCATAAAACAACAGCAAAAAAAAAAAAAAAGCTTCAAGAAATAAATGCTGCAATCGCAAAACGTAATTAGAAGCAAACTTACAAACTACAAAACAAATTCAAAAGAGAAACGCTGCAAATAGTAAAAACACACAAAGCTCAAAACAACTGCCTAGGAAGGCGACATTTACAGGCATGTCTTAACCCACCACTCCCTGTCCCCATCTCACCCACACACACGCATAGACACACCCCCATAATTATTATACAATGATGATTATGATGATGACCATTCGTAACGACAATCACACCCAGAAACACTTTCATCCCAGTGACTATAGTTTAGTTATTTGTATTAATATTGTGTTTAAGGCAGCACGATGGTCGACTGGTTAGCCTCACATTGCTGAGGTCATGGGTTTGATTCCCAGCCCTGGCCTTCCTGTGTGGCGTTTGCATGCTCTCCCCATGCCTACATGGGTTTTTGGTTTCCTCCCACATTCCAAAAACATGCATGGTAGGTTGATTAATGACTTTATATTGTCCCGAGGTGTAATTGTGAGTGCAAATGGTTGTTTGTCTACAGCACTGGTGTCAAAGTCAAGGCACGGGGGCCAGATCTGGCCCGCCACCT